CCGAAGAAAGATCCAGTGTCTCCATATATGACGTCATTTATGGACTCAGCTTTGCGGGCAGAGAGGACGCCGCGGTAACGGCTCAGCTGCAGCTGCGTCCTGCACGCGGCCGCTGCAATATTCACAAAATCGCTCCTCTAAAACAAAATAATTCACTTGCGATTGTTCATATCAGCGCATGTTCTCTGGTATTCTGTACTGTTCTAATGTGCTTTGCCTCAGCTGAGTTCATAATCTGTGCCCCGGTGATTTCAACTCATTGCTGCTGGAGCGCAGCGCATGTGAAGATCCCTTTGGCTGACAGAAAGTAGGAAATCTAGGAAACAGTTTTTCTGGAAGACGGAGAAAACATGCAGCATGCAGGAAGGTTAGAGAGAGAAAGGGCTGGAAATTATTCAAATAAAATCAAGAAAAAAGAAAAAAAAAAGTAGGTAGATTTATCCCCAATACCCATGTTTACCAGTGAAAATCAATAATATATAAGCATTTAATATTTATACATGTGATAGAATCAGATCACCCCAGAAGGCAGTCCCACATCCAGGGCCGTATCAAGGCATTTGGGGACCAAGGCAAATATAGGCTTGGAGCCCCCACCACCTCACTCCCTGCTCAGTTAATCTAAGATGGCAGCGTGCTGAGAGTACAGATGGTTGTTGCTTTTATTTAATAAACAATCATTTTAAAGCACTGTTATTATATCTGACTGTTTTTAACAGCAATCCTAGCTCAGACACCACATCACCTTCCACACATATGTCATGAGCTCACTGAGCGTCACATGACCAGATTCATACTAAAGTTGTTTTGGTGAAAGTAACTTAAAGTAATGCAAAAGTAGTGTAATGCCTTACATTTTAAAATCAGTAATATTGTAATGTAATGAATTACTTTAAAATGAGGGTAACAAGTAATAAATAATGCATTACAGTTCTGAAGTAACTTGCCCAACACTGCCCCTGCGTGACTGCAAGGTGCACTGATTCATGTGAATGTTTGGTTTTGTCATTCAGACGTACGTTTGTGTGAACTGACCAAAAACGGCATCAGCAAAACGGTGATCGAGTTGCTCAATTTTGGTGGCTCATCAACTGGAAAACCCAAACCTAGATTTCTTTTCTTATCTTTTTAAATCCGACGTTTTGTGGATGGATGGTTTTACCCCAATTCACCCGCAGCTGGAACTAAACTCACTGGCAGCTTCCAAACCATCAAATGGTGCCAAAGTCATTTAGCCATTTTTGCATGTGGAGCCACCTTTACTGCTTCTCTACAGTTTGATGATTTAAATTAAAACCGGCTCCAAATAAAGTTAAAGGAAAGAAATGTGCAGGAAGTAAAACACGAGAGTGGAACTGCATGCTCTGTCTTCTGCATCTGTGTGTTCATGTGCATGTGTGTGTGTGTGTGTGCACGCGGGTGTGTTTGCTGCACTGCAGGTGGCGGCTGGAGGCTTAATGAAAGGGCCAGTTGTGTTGCGGGGCTGACTTTGCTGCTGAGAGCAGATGGATCGGTCTCTCGGTCTCTCCGGTTTCAATCTTGTCCCACATTGCTGCCGTCGCCCCATTTAACAGCCAATTTCCAGCCAGCTCATTGCAAACACACGACAAAAACAAAAGCACACAAGAGCGGAAAGCAGCAAAAGCATTGAGAGGAAGTAGACCACAGAGAGGCACATAAAAAGAGGGAAGAAGGTAAAAAAAAAAAGTGAAGCACAAACAAATGTGGCCTGGCTAAATGTCACTGTACACAAATGAGATTTAAAACATTTAAGCAGATAAATGATTAAAACACACACACACACACACACACACACACACACACACACACACACGCACACACACACACACAGTTAGCTCCTCTGGGTAAATACAGTTAGAGGCAGTGCAGTTTTTAATGAGCGTGCTCCAGATGTCTTCCCAGGCTGCAGCACACAAACGGCTGATCAATCAATTACATTCACACAAAAAACCCTAATTTATCAGACAAACTCCATAATCTCAATTCATCTCAGACACAGTGATCCCAGATGACCCTTCTGACACACACACACACACACACACACACACGACTCAACCCTCTCTCTTATGCCTCCACTGGTGCGGTGTGGCTTTTTGCTGAGCTCAGACATGAGCCAGTAGCACTCAGCCAGAGCAGAAAAAATATCCACATTTTCTGTTCTGAAGTAACTAAATAACCAAATACATCTTTTTAGTTTCCGCAGAATGTCAGAGGTAAAGAATCAGCCAGGTGCTGCCTAGTGGATGATTAACAGATCATCGTCAGTACGAGCCCTCAATAACAGCAGGAGTGTTTGCTGGTCTGCAGCGTACAGGTGTGTGTTAGCACAATGCTATCAGGAAGGACATCAGCTGTTCACATTTGAATTCAGATCTCAGACTGTTGCACCAGTCTATTAAATATTCACTCGTTCACTGCCATTGACGACTAAAGTTGTCATTTGCATTTTTTTTTACTGTTTGAGCATCAGAACGAGCCCCCGCGCTGAGAGAACAAACATCTCAGCCCTGATACGTCTTCATCCGCATACGTCACACGTCACGTGATCAGGAAGCAGACCATCCATGTGTCAGGAGATCGTTTTGGGTCGTTCCTGTAAAAAAAAGTGAGGCGCGAACTGGAAAAGCGTCTGCCGATCACAATTCAACAACGGATTATGATTGAACGGATAACGCTCCAAACACACGACTTCTTCCTGATGTAAGAGGGGAGTCTCCGCGTTATTTTGGTTGTTTTGGCGTCGACATCATGCTAGCACGCAACGTTCTGTGACTCTTAAAATAACAGTAAAAACGGTGAGAAACGCTGGCAGCGAAGGCCGTTAGCGATCAGGAAAGGGCTTGCAGTGAATGAGTTAAAGGTCATTTCTAAAAAAATTCACATTTCTGTCTGTCAGACACAGATGTTTTTGGATGTTTACCCATAATGCACAGCTTCAAGTTTGGAGAAAAGCAAACACATCATATCAGCTCAAACACCAGCTGCAGGTGGTGGAGGGCTGATGGTGTGGGCTCCTTACAGGTACTTAGTCCACAATGATCTCCCGTGTAGACCAAAGTGTTCTAGAGCCAGATGTGAGTCCATCTGTCTGGCAGCTGGAGTTTGGGCCAAACTGGGTGATAACGCAGAACCACGATCCAAACAGCAGCAGATCACCTCCACCAAGGTGAGGTGGCAGCCCAGGGTTTTACTGTTCATGTATCTGTAAATGTGGCTTTTCCACATAGCTCACTTTTATAACTTTAGGGATGGTCAGACGTCACATTTCAAACCAAATACACAAGAAAACACACTAAAGTATGTTTTCAAAGTAAAACTAGCCAAATATTCCAAAACAGGAGAAGTTTAATCTCTATAATAAAGCTGAGCATTTGTTAGAATAATGTGTGTGATAACACTGAACACTAGAGATGCAACTAAACAGAAACCCTGTTGAGATCAGAATAGGTCAGTATTACCCGCCATGATTGAAATCATCATCACCTGGTGATTGGTTCATCTGAACTCATCAAACCATTGGGGTTTTCCTGGTCCTTAGCTTACCATTGCTAAAATAAATTGCATAAAATATTAGTCTCACCTAGGGATGGGTACCTTTGACATTTGAATTGATTCGGTACTAATTCCCGGTACCTAGGAATCGATACCGGTACTTAACGGTACCAATTTTCGATACTTTTGAGTGTTTATTATTTTAATTATTTTTTATAATTAAATATATATTTTTCTCAATATAGAACAATATTTGATAAATATCACGATAAATAACATTCAACTGTTTGTATTTTAACATCGTCCTTGTAGTTTTATAAGCTGATAATTAAACTGAAGCAAATATCTTTACTGTGAACTAAATTTACTGTGTATCTTCATTCCTTTTGCCGTCCTTTTTCATTTGATTTTTCCTACTGGGAAGTTAGAATTTCCGAGGAGAAAGCGAACGCACCATTAGCTGATAACAATGGTAGCAATGGAAGCTAACATATCAAGCTAACGTTATCTTAAACAGTTTATTTAGCTGCTGGAGCAGATTAAAACGATGATGCCTCACACTTAGATCGTTGTCACTGGTTTCATCTTCACCCAATCACCCGTCGCATTTAGTAAAGTGAAGCCAAACTTTAGAGCGCGTTCATGTTCTTCTAGTCGGAAATTCGGAGTTCCGAGGAGAAAGCGAACGCACCACTAGCGAAACGGAAGCTAACATATCAAGCTAATTATATTTACCTACCGGAGCAGATTAAGATGAGGATGTCTCACTTAGATCGTTGTCGCTGGTTTCATCATCACCCAGTTACCCATCACATTTAGTGAAGAGGACCCAAGCGTTAGCGTGCGTTCTTTCTACCATGCTGCTCGGTTTACAACTCGCTCGCAGCGACCGATGACATAACGCTCTTGCGCATGCGCAGCTGTCTAGGCAAGTTCTCGTTATGAAGGACGGGTACCGAAACGAGGCACCGTTTGAAATGACGTGAATCGGTGCTCAGTCGGTACTATGGAATTCGGTCGGTACCTTAAAAAGTACCGAATTCTGTACCCATCCCTAGTCTCACCCTATCTGATAATAACTATTTATAAGCTATAATTCTAGGTAAGGTATAGCTGGAGTAAATCAGCATTGTCCAAAAGTATATATTCACAGATCACTGGGGGGAACTCATATCAGCCCCTCAGAACAACGAGTTCATCTCTACCGAAGACAAGACAGAACCACTTTCTGCAGAGTCATTCACTCATCACAGAGTCAGAGAAAATAGTTCAGTGAAAATGAAGCCAACGTCAGAAGATCATAAGAGCCAGAGGACTCTTCCAACTTTCATGCTTGACTGCATTCAGCACATTCCAGACCTCCCACAGACTAACGTCACATCTCTGACAAACACCAATTTCACCCATCTCAGAATTATCCCTGTTATTAATCTGTGTCACTAAGATGCTTTTGACACACACACACACTCACACACACATGTCATTACCTTCTGCACGGATGGTGAAAGGGGAGTCCCCCAGTCTCTTGGCTGAAAACTGCCCCCCCAGAGACGTCATTAGAAAGCAGAGGCTGAAGAAACCAACTCCTACCACGAATATCCTGCAGCACAGGGGAGAAGGAGAGGGAATAAAGGAGGAGAAGGAGGAGCAAACGCGTTTACAGGACAGGTAAATAACTTTGAACAAGTCATTCTGATATGACAGCAGAGTCCAGGTGATTTGGGTAAAGACATGCAGTGGGCCTAAACAGGCGGGAAAAGCTAAATTAGGATTCTAAATTACATGTCAGCAGTATTTAAAGGCAGATTATTTTAAAATAGCAAATGACTGAGTGAGTGAAAAATGAAAGATGACATAAGTCAGATGAAAATAACCAATAGAGGAGAAAATAGAGTCAAAGAGAAGCTGAAGGAAGGAATAAAAGTACAAAATTCAGGAAGCTGTTGCGGAAGGCAGAGCATAATCAGCACATTGATCACAGGCAGAGAAGTGGGATCTCAAAGCCAAGGGGCACTTAAGATAAGCTGGAGTTGTTATATTTTTGTTCAAAATACATCGAGGCTAAATCCAAAAATAAGGTGGAACGTTTGTCCTTCTGTGAAGGGAAAATGGTCCCAAGTATTAATCTTACATGTAGAAGAGAAGTGCCAGAGATAAAGGGAGGTGTGAACACCTTCATTTATACTTAAGAACTAAAATACTGTAAAAACATAAAGAATAAATAGTTCTTGTTGAGCATAAAGAATAGTTCTTGTTGAGCTAGGAATGACAAGTAAAGATGTCGTGGTTTCTGAAAAGAAATGCATCAATAATACTACAGTTTTTCTTTCTTTGAGGTTAACAAATTCATGCAATGCCTAAAAGACAATTAACGCTGGCCTTCCATTGAAAAACATGATGTCAAAACAAACATAATGTCAAAAGAAATTGCAGTGCCCTCTAGTGGATGGCTCCCATTTCATTTTTTTATGCAAACCTCAACATGGAACTATCTTCAACGTAACTCAAAAAACTTAAACAATCACAAAGACTATTTACACGACAGTAAAGAGAAAAGGATGTTACTGAAGAGGAACTTTACTCATATGCTTAATTGCAGTTGTCTATATTAGGAATGAATGCCTTGCAAGTTGTACTCTGAGGGACAAAAGCAGAGGGAATTCAGCCAGAGGAGAAAGTAGCTTGTACCTGTGTATAGCTATTTAAAAGGATTATGTTTGATTCAAGGCTGCGCAGTGGCACAGTGGTTAGAGCTGTTTCCTTGCAGTAAGAAGGTCCTGGGTTCGCTTCCCAGCCTGGGATCATTCTGCATGGAGTTTGCATGTTCTCCCTGTGCATGCGTGGGTTCTCTCCGGGTACTCCGGCTTCCTCCCACCGTCCAAAAACATGATGTTAGGTTGACTGGTCTGTCTAAATTGTCCTTAGGTGTGTGTGTGTGTTTGATTGTTTGTCCTGTGTGTCTCTGTGTTGCCCTGTGATGGACTGGCTCTCTGTCCAGGGTGTACCCCGCCTGATTACCAACCTTGGGGTGAAAACTGATACACAGTTTTCCATGGGCCCTCAGATTAACGCAGTGGTCAGATCGTGTTTTTATCAGCTGCGCAGACTAGTCTGCTTAAAACCGATCCTGAAACGAGCACACCTGGAATCCGTAATCCATGCTTTTATCATCTCTCGACTGGATTATGCAAATTCCATTTCAATTGGTTTACCTGCCTCCGCTCTTAACAGGCTTCAAGTTGTACAGAACGCGGCAGCCAGGTTTTTAACAAACACTCCTAGGAGAGAACATATCACACCTGTACTGGCGCGGCTCCACTGGCTACCCGTAAACTTTAGGGTCAAGTTTAAAATCCTGACTTTTGTTTTTAAGGCCCTGAACGGTCTGGCACCGGATTACCTGTCGGATCTTGTCACTAGATATGTGCCAAACCGGGCGTTGAGGTCTGCTGATTGCCTGCTGCTTCGTGTTCCATTAATGAAATACAAAAGGCGGGGGCAGCGTGCTTTCGTCTACGCTGCTCCGACACTCTGGAATGCTCTTCCTCTTTCGGTGAGGCTGGCACCATCCCTCCTCCGGTTCAAATCGCTGCTGAAGGCTCACTTTTACGACCAGGCATTTTTAAATCCCTGACTTTTATTATTTTATTATGTGTCTTTTTATTGACTGTAATTATCTGCCTTGTTGTGCATTTTATTGTTGACCGTGTATTGTTTTATATTGTGTTTTTACTTTTTATTCTGTACAGCACTTTGGTCGGCTGCCATGCCGTTTTTAAATGTGCATTATAAATAAAGATGGTATGGTATAGTATGGTATGATTGCCCGTTGACCGCTGGAGATAGGCACCAGCCCCCCCGCGACCCTACATGGACAAAGCGGGTTCAGAAATTGGATGGATGTTTGATTCACAGCTGTGGTTTACTTTAAAGTGCTCCAGTGAAGATGTGTAGATGAACTAGCCATCCCAACTATTACAAAAAAATTCAAACTTGTGTGGAGAGACTGTCTTCTCTCTCATGCTAAAGGCGTGTTGAAAATTATGTGGTGCAGGACAAAGGAGCTTCTGCAGCTGCCATCCAGAGCTGAGCCTCCACGATTTAAGCTAGCAAAATAAACCCTATGGGTGTAGCTATTTTAGATCTTCTAACACATCTTTGTGCAGATGATTGGAAAAGATGCATCTCTAAGCGAACTGTGCTTAGCGCAAAGCTTCCAGATCCATTTAAAATAGCTGACAAGCTGTGGGACGACAGTCGATACGATGGACTACACAAAGCTGAAGCAGTGAAGGCGTAACCGGGTCTCATCAGAGTTGTGCATAATGTGATTTAAACCAGCACTGTAAACAGAAACCTAAAACTAATGACACTAAAGGCTGCCCACCCCAATTAGAAGAACACATTTTGTCTAGTTATATAAAAAAAAACATTGATTTAATCTGGTTCAACTACTGGGGTAATCCTTGGGTACGTGACATCAACATGCCTATAAGGGACAAAGTATTTTAAAATATTCAGTACATTTTTATGATAGATCAAAAGTCTAAATTTCAAAATAACAACAAACAAGCATGTATTGTTTACTTAGAAAAGAGGTCCTTATATCATGGTAATTTGATGTGTTTAATACTCAACGATTCCATCAACAATGTGAGCCTCCATCTCCGCTCGGCGTCACTGATCTGGTATTTGAAAGATCATTCCTCACGTTGGAAAATCAAATATTACTCAGATCACTGAGCAAATCTGATCTCTGACTTAAGAATTTGAAAATGGGGGCTTTTGAATCCTGCCCTACTTCAGTTTCTCTCCATGGTCTCTGCGGATCAAGGGTTATCTTAGTATGCTGGAGGAACAGGGAGGAAAAGCTGTCTATGATTCTCATCCGGTGGACAAAATGCCAGTCAGCCTCCATGACTAACAAGTCAAATCCTGCTTTTAAAAAGCCTCCTGCTCCACAGCTTACCCCAGAGAGAGAAGCAACTCAAAGATTTAGAGACAACTGGTGCAATATATATATATATATATATATATATATATATATACACACACACACATACAGGCCAAGGCAGGGCAGTAAATATGTAACAGCTATAGCCATTTTATTAAATCTCAGTCATATATGCATCGGTTTGGCAAATATTTCAGAAAATATTAAATATATAAAGGTTGGCTAAATGGTACCGAGCATATATATATATATATATATATATATTTTTTTTTTTCTTTTCTTTTCCGGAACTGCGCTGCTCTGCGCAGCTGCATGTTGGAGTAGCTTTCCTGTTTCTGGTGCTGTGAGGCTTGGAGGATTTTTACTGCTATTTTTTTAACTTTTTTCCCCTTTTTGAGCATTTGTTATGATGCGTAACCATGGCAACAAGCTGGTTTACAATCGGGAGCAGCTGATTAACATTAGAAAGGCTGAAATAATACCTCAACTGAAGCCACAAATCCCACATGAGCTAAAACGCAAGAAGCGTGGGTGCAGAGCGGGAGCAAAACGGAGACAGAGAAAGAGGAAATTCAAACCGTCTCTTCCATCGATCATAACGGGCAATGTGAGATCACTGGCCAACAAGATGGAGGAACTCCAAGCCCTTTCAAGGACTCAGCCAGAGTATCGTCAGTTTCTGAACCGCTGGAGGAAATAATGCAAAGAAGGATTCTCCAGAGAATCAAGAAAATGATGGACAACCCTGAGCGTTCTCTTCACAAGACTGTCCGACAACGGAAGAGTGTCTTCAGTCAGAGGCTTCTTCAGTTTGGCTGCAACACTGACCGCTACTGGAGATCCTTCCTGCCAACAGCCATTGTAATATACAACAACTCTTTGATGACCTGATTATTATTATTATTCTGAGCTACTACAGCAATCAATTTCCCTCTGGGATTAATAAAGTATTTTTGAATTGAATTGAATATGAACGATGCATCAGAAGCCAAACAAAAGGAAAAGTCAAACACATTTAGAACCATTGCTTTCTCTATGAAGGCACGCTTGGCTCATTGTTGCATTTGGTCAGACTTACAGTACAGCAATAATAAGGTCAGGAATAAACTACTTAGTGCTGCTATTGCTGTTATGAGTTTCCATCAAAAACACATAAAAGAACCATTACTGGTCTGGCTGACTGGGCCCAAACTGATCACATGATCTGTTAGGAATGCAGCCATGCTTTGGATCGCCCAGGGGTGTTTCGGTGTAAAGAGTGAGTGAGGAATGGATGCAGATCCGCACAAAGACCACGGAGTCTAACCAGACGACCAAACGGGCTGAGGCACGGTGAGGATCCAGATGTGCTGCCACAGAATCTTTCACGGTTTTCTTTTTTTTTTTTTTTTTTTAATTCACACGCAGACCGTTATTCAGTTATGGAATTTTCGTGAGCTAAACAGGAAGTGAGACGTGTGGCAGGGAAGTGCATCCGGTTAATTCTAAAATAAAACTCACTTTGCTTCAATCTGTTTGTCTTTTTCTGTTAATATTAATGGCAGGGATGTTGGTTTACAGTGCGTGATAGTACACCCGTGTGGCTTTTGTTTACCAGCTGCTCTCTGCACATGTTGTTGTTATCTCATGAACTCGTGAACTAGAGA